GTACAAAAAGCTATTGATCAAGGATTAAATCTCGAGCAGACAGTGAAAACAACAACAGATGCCATGCAAGAATTTCGTGGTTATGTTCTCTTTGATTGGATACATTCTAATTTGAACGTACCAAAAGCATTCGATGAATTGAAAGCCAACAAGTAAATTCAAAGAGACAAAATTACAGATCATTGAATAATTTTCATACTAACAACGATAACAATCTTTAATAACGGTTTGCTTCTATTTTTAATTGTATGAATGATACTTCTTTTTTCATTATTCAAATATAAAAGAATTGTATTTTTTAAAAAAATTCTCAAAACCACTCATCAATTTGGGTGTGGGTGTGAATGAATTGAACAACCGCACACCCACACCCATATCCCTGAAGTATAGAGTCATTGTTTTTCATTAAATAAATCGGTTAATTTAAAAACTCGAATGTGTAAAAACGTATTCGACTTTGAGCATTTTAATACGTTTTGTATCGATTTTATCTGCGTGTAGATGATCAAATAAACTGAGCAATCTCTAGAATGTTACATTACTATGAGCGAAACTAGCTGTGTGACTTTTTATCCTCTTTCTTTCTTTTGCTCAACTTTTGAGATACTTATTTTAGACTTCTCACAGTTTGTGGTCATCCACTCGTCATCAACATTCTGTCAATTAAAATGGAGTGACGTATGCCGACATTTTTCTTTTAATGTTAATTAAAATACAGTCCTTATCTTTATGTCAATTCAAGATTGACAAAAAAAGACAAGCGATAAAATGACATTCTATCTGTTAATGTGCTTTTTCTGTGATTCCAAGAGTGGAAAGAAATATCTCAAACGTCTCAGCACAAGGTAAGCTATTTACATGCATGCAATAATGATCAGTTATAAAATTCAAACGTGTAATCACAACATGTGTTCATCCAAAATGACAAAATTCATGTATTCATTTTAGGATTGTTTTGTCATAATAATAGGATGTCTTCTTCTTCTTCTTCTTCGTCGACGTCATCTACCAACATCACCGAAATCGGGGTTGATCTATTGTCAACAAATATTTTTACATTGATCAATTCGAGTTTAATTTGTCTGTATTCATTTTTGATTCTATTATTATTCGCATTACATTATCGTCATTGGGTAAATAAGGAAATATCTCTGATTCTTGTCTTAAATACCTATGTAGCCATATTCTTCTTTTCTATTATGTCACTCACTATGAATGTTAACACGCTGATGGGCGATTTTCATCTGTTCAATGAACGACAAGAGGACGATTCACTTTTATGTCGTGTTCAAGGCCTTTTGTATTATGTATTGGGCGCAGCAGTGTTCTATACACTCGCTCTTCAAGCATTTTTTCATTTCACGCGTATTGTCTATTCTCGAAAGATCGTTTTTCAACGTTATCGAACACAACTCATATTAGTCGGACTCGTCTGGCTTCTATCATTTCTACCCACTGTCGTATCAGTACTCTCATCAAGATCCATAGTCTTTCTAGCTGAAGAACACTATTGTTCGATGGATGCCAATGCAAAGCCATTAGCAACATTGATTATATTATCATGTAACTATACATTGCCCAGCTCGTTTTTATGTATATTGTACATACGTGTCATTATTTTCATACGTCAATCAACTGAACGTATGGCTGTTGCTGCACGACAACAGATGAAAAGGGATGTGATTGTTTTGCGTCGAATTATTCTAATTGTCACTCTTGTTCTTGTTCTCGGCGCACCGGGACCTATTTTTATCATCATGCGATTTATCAATGGTCGACTTCATCCACTCGCCTATCGCATTACATGGTTAGCGGGTGTGACTGGTATTCTTTTTATCTCGATTGCACTCTATATTATAACACCACAAATGAAAACAATTTTGATGACAATCCCCGTACGTCGAGTTAGAGCGACAACATCAACGACTGGAAATCGATTTTAATTTATGTTTTGGTAAAGCCTCTATAAGACAGTGAAATTATAGACGAACGAACTGAGAATAAAAAAATGATTTTAGATCAGCGTGTGTTCCGATTGCTAGCAAACGTCACTTAGTATCAAAGATATTATTTAGATTTCTAAAAGATTAATAGTTTTTCATTTCAAAAGAGTCAATACGATACAATAAATCAAGTGCTATTGATTGACGCATCATCTCTTTGATTTTTATGCTTCAAAATGAGAATTTTGTTAAAATTTTTCCTCATATCTACGTATTGAAGTCTGCTGATTAGTTGCATTAATGATTTTCTTAATTAATCAGTAATATTTGACACGTGTTTTATATAAATGATCATCTAATTACTGTAAGACTATTGGAAGATGTTAGAAGAATTTTTTCTTAAATTTAACTTTGTTCTATAACTGTTGATAATTTCTCATATCGATGGATGCTAAGATTAATCACTTCTGTGAATATTTATTGAAGCAATTAAGCGTTAATTTGTAATATAGATGTAGCTGTGTGTGTGTAGATGCAGAGAAGAAGCATGTCTAGATTTGCACATACTTCCATGTTTGTTTTCCAATATTTGCTGTAACGATGTTTTTTTTCAAATTGAAATCGTCTTATTTAAGAATGTTAGATTGAAGATATCTTCTTTTTACTCTTTCTATATGCATGAAATTGTCGTCGATTATCCCGTTATTATCGAGAGATTTTGAAAATCTTTTATTTTTCAAGGGTTTATTACTTTGTTTTTATATATTTCTATTCTATATTCTATTCTCTTCAATATTTCCTAATCATACAATTAAATATAGATTAAAACAGATAAATGTTGTCTGATTAATTAAGAATTCTTCTATGTATGATCAAAAAAGCATAACATCTTAAAGATGAGAAAGAGCGAAAAAAGATTTTTCGATTGTTGTTGTAGGAAAAAGCAAAGTATCAAATGAGAAGCGATATGATTTATAAAAGAGCAAATAGCGAACTATCTTCCCATAGCATTCATCTATATTTTATTATTTTCAACGAAAATTGATTTGTTTTCCGGGGATGAGAAAGTAAAAGTGTAAGATTTTATTTGATTCTCTAGGATTCCAAAGAATTCTCTCCAAGATTTTCCTATTCATCTCTTGTGGTGTCATCACATCGGAAAATCAACATTGAGACCCTGGTTACTATATCTGTACGTTGTCTTATAGAGACTAGTGATGGTATATTGATCAATAGAGAATCTATGTTTCTATGATATATGACTCATTTTATAATAATGTCCATTATTTGGAAATGTCTGTATATATACAAGATAAATGACTAAAAAAAATAAAATAAAATATCTAAATATAGAATTATTGAAAATATATTTAATGGAAATAAATAAATAATTCAAAAATAGTTACTTGATCATTCATCTATTATTAATCAAACGTTTTAACAATAAATTTATGAGAAAAATCATATTAAAATCTAATTGGATAATATTTTGTTGTACATCAATATTAACAAATATATTTAACCCCTGTTGCAAAAGTCTTTAGCCAAATGTTTATTCATTTTTCAGCCGCCTAAACGTCATTAGTGAGAATCAAAAGTAGTTAGTTAAAATCAGATTTTTGTGCTCTTTTCGAATATCTGATCAGAATATTTCACTGACTCAATATTAATTAGGGATAAGCCAAATGTTTGACAGAGTCGAAAATGATGTTTGTACAGAATTTTACTGGATGTATTTTTGTGTTTTGATCGATATCTACTCTACGCAAAACATGAAAGATATTTTCATCAGCCAATTTTATAGAGCGAAGTTTGCTCTACAAACTATGCTATTTAGTTTGGTTTTCCATCTCGAAACAAATACATGCAATCTATTGTATTATAAATAGAAGATCTTGGAAAATTGACTTTTTGGCAGGATTTTATTTTACGTACCAATCAGTTCTCAGAAAAACGTCTACAACCTTTTATTCATTTGAGTTGAAGCCTATTGTCATATATGGTTTTATAGAGAATTGAATGCTCTACAAATTGCCAATTTCGAACTGCTTCAAAATCCAACTTACATAAGTAATGAATAGCGGGAAAACATGTGTTTTCTTCGTCGAGATGTCATTCTTCGCCTCTTTCAAGTATTAACTTACAGCTAACCAATCTTAAGCCAAAGAGATATTCTAAACACATATCAGAGAAGAGCAGATAAGACTGACTATAAGGAGCTACTTTTGGTTCGTATCAAATACTTTTAGCGGCTGAAAGATGAACAAACATTGGCAGAATGACTTTTTGTACAGATATCATTTTTCACTCTGTCAAATATTTGGCCCATTTCTAATCAATGTTAAGTCAGAGAAATATTCTGATTAGATATTCGGAAAGAACACAAAAATCTGATTTTAGCTAACTGCTTTTGATTCTCACTAATGACGTTTAGGCGACTGAAAAATGAATAAACACTTTGTCTAAAGACTTTTGCAACAGAGGTTATTTGATTTTAAAATAATTATTTATCATATTTAAAATAAATAATATTCTGTATTTATGTTTTTAATAATTACAGTTAAAACAATATTTATTTGTCATTTTTATCAATTAGAAAAATAAAATAAATTGAAAAAATCTAATGATTTTTTTTTCAAGAGCGGCTCAATATTGACATATTATATATCTTGATGCATTTATTTTATATTATTTAAAATAAAATTTATTTAATTAAAATAAAACACGAGAAATTTCTTAAAATATTTTCTTGTCTTTAATTAAAATAAAATAATTCGTTTATTTGAAAATAATTTTAATATTTATCTATTGAAGGTATGGATGTCAGTGTTCTCATCGTCGTCACTCATACCCTCCTTTTTCTCTATTCGTAAACTCTAAGAAAAAAAAGCATAAAAAAGTGTTGTTTCTGCATTTTCTAGAACAAATCCGGATACAGATGTGCTATTAATAAAAGTCATGCATTTCCCATTTTAAACTATTTGTTTTAGTTATTTAAAAATTAGGTTGTATTTTATCTAGATAAAGATATAAAACAATATTAATGCTTTTAGTCTCCATTTTCTTGTTTGAGATTGATGATAAAACGAGAAAGTATTATACATTAAATTTAGCAATCTCTTGATAATCGTCAGTTGCTATAATTTTATAGCCATTAAGATGAATTTTCGAATGATACTTTTCATGAAATTATTCATTCTGGTGATGACTGAA